GACACAGTATAACAACAAGCAGTATTTGAGGACTCAGTATAACAACACACAGTATGAGGACACACAGTATAACAACATACAGTATGAGGACACACAGTATAACAACACACAGTATGAGGACACAAAAGAAAAACAAAACACAGTAAAGAGGACACACAGTATAACAACACACAGTATGAGGACACACAGTATAAGAACACACAGTATGAGGACACACAGTATAACAACACACAGCATGAGGACACACAGTATAACAACACACAGTATGAGGACACACAGTATAACAACACACAGTATAAGGACACACAGTATAACAACACACAGTATGAGTACACACAGTATAACAACACACAGTGTATAGGCCTAAGTGCTACCACAGAGTGTCAGCGTGCCTCGTTGTGCTCCCGGTTTTTCTGGTGTTTTCACGGTCGCTCTTACGTGCTAGAACTTTAATTTGTGTCATCAATCCTATACGATACATCCCTCTAGCGCCTGGAACCAATCTTGGGCGGAAAACATTATATACTGAGTCAAAAAGTGGAGAATTAGTGTGCACTACCTAGCAGAGTTTACTGCCAGAGGGGAATCATAGGCCTGTGTCCCGTGTGAAAAAAATAATAATAATTGAACTTTTCGTGTCAGAGGAAAGAAAGTCTCCCTGATAACATTGGGGTATACATAGTGAAAAGTGTATAATCAGTGGTCCCTAGTATATTGATGATAAAGGCTAAAGTGTCATTGAAAACAGGTGAATTTGTAAATGAAGTGATAAGCCTATAGAGGGAGGTGCCAGAAGTCGCCAGAAAACTTACCACAGGTCAGCTGTTTTTTAATAATCTTCCTGGCCTGCTAGTGTACTCTCATATAATTTTAGTGATACCAGTGAATAGCAGAAACAGTGTTGTAGTAGCAACTAACCAGTATTATAATGGGACTTAGTGGAGTGGAGTGACTTTCATTAGTTTTCTTTTCTTGAAATACCCGACGTATACTGTGAATTTCATATAACCTGTAGTTACCAGCGGTCGCAATATACACAACGAGAACGAATATTACTACAGAAAAGCGTCCTTCCTCCAAAAATTTTCCACCAGTCAACTATAGTGATAATATAGCATTAATTGTGGTGGAGCCGAAAAAAAAAAAAAAAAAAAAAAATAGAAAAAACTTAGATACAGCGATTGATAAACAAGGGTTGAGTCGACCGGGTTTGTCATTGTAGAGTTGCCAGCAGTCACCGGTTTTCTTCAACACGCAAGTTATCTTTTGTATCAGTCAAATCACATATTACTCGGTAGATAATTTTCCAGTAGGGTCCTTCATGTGTTAGCCCAAAAACACCGACCAGTATGTTTTAAATAAGCGACCCACCCGTACAATCAGATCGACTGGTCCGAACCCTTGACTGGTCCGAACCCCTTGACTGGACCGAAACCCTTGACTGTCCCCAACCCTTGACTGGACCCCAACCCTTGACTGGTTTCAAACGGTTTCGTTGGACAATAAAAGCAGACTGTAAAAACGGATGGGGTTTTAGGCGCCCTTATAAACACAAACATTAAAAAATATATCAGGAACGTGCACGGGAAGCTCCAAAATACAAAAACAGTTAGAAACAGAAATACAAATAGCTTTGACTTCTTAAGGAGGTTTTAAAAGAAAATTTTAAGAATTGCTAGTAGAATTGGC